GAACAATAACTGGCAATTAAAAGTTATTACCGCATTCCAGGATTATAACAGCAAACTATTCGCAGCCGCGAGACCCAACGCAAACAGTTCATTTGTACAACCAAATGGAACCTGGGTGAGAGGGCTGCAAAAAAGTAAAACCAATGAAGATTATTACCTGGCACAGGCAGACCTTACCGGGAAGTTCAGGACAGGAAAAGTTGAGCACCTATTATTGGTCGGTGCCGATGCTGATCGCTATAATACCAGCACCACGGCGTTTGTCACCAATGCGTTTAACAATGGACTGGCCAATACTTCTATCAGGGGAAAGAATATCTATGACACGATCAACATCTTCGATCCATATGGTTCTTCATTTTCAAAACGGGAAGATATTCCGTACCTCGCACCGAACACCATTACAACCAGCCCCATCAAACGTTTTGGCGTTTATGTGCAGGACCTGCTTAGCGTAACTAAACATTTTAAATTATTGGTGGGAGCGCGGTATAGCTTGCAGGAAAACAGCCAGGCAACTGTTGATACCGTGGCGAAGTCAACACACGGATACATTGCAGCCTATACCAGCCGAGCACTAAGCCCGCGCATTGGCCTGGTGTATCAACCGCTGAAAGTGATTTCCATCTTCGCCAGTTATACAAATAACTTTAGTCCTAATACCGGTGTTGATACATTTAACGCGCCCTTAAAACCGTCAATTATTGATCAGTTTGAAGCAGGCGTCAAAACCGATTTCTTCAAAGGAGCGCTATCAGTAAATGTGACAGCCTACCGCATCATCAACAGTGACTTTGCTTTGTCCGTCGTCAACCCACCTGCCAGTGCGCCTGCCGCGAAAGAACTGGTTGGTGAAGTGACAAGCAAAGGCGTTGAACTGGATATCTCCACCAGGTCCATACATGGTTTTAGTATCATCGCTGGGTATAGCTATAATGATACACGGTATACAAAATCGAATGGACATAATAGTTCCGTAAAAGTGGGGGATCGTCTTCGCTACAACCCCTCGCATACGGCTAACGGCAGTATTTATTATGCGTTTCCCGCATCATCGGTACTTCGTGGTTTCAGTATTGGCGCCGGTGCCTTTTATACCGGTAATCGGCTGGCAGGACGTAATACCACTGGCACCAATCCCGGTTACCGGTTGATGCCACTCCCGGATTATACATTGTTTGATGTATCCGCCGGCTACACAACAGGTCGCTATGCCTTCCGTTTAAAGCTCTCTAATATTGGCAATACATTAAGCTACAACGTGCATGATGATAATAGCGTAAACCCGATCGCCCCCAGACAGGTTGCTGCCACGGTAGCGTATAAATTATAAGACCT